TGATTACAAGATGCAAGCGGGACATCAGTGAAGCTATGTCCCTCTTTACAGCCTCCATTGCATTACCGCTAAAAGTACGAACCAGTCGATGGTGCCACACATGAGGTTGGACTCCTTGTCCAATTAACCGTCACAATGGCAGGACAATTTTGCTCTATCATTTACTTTACTCCTGCTTTCTTGCTTCCTGGTATCTTAATCAGCTTGGTTGGTGCTTTCTGTGGATGAATCTACATCAAGCCTATCAAATGTATCCAGTCGAATGCGAAAGCTCCGGTTCTTGCGCAGTGAGTATCATCACATCTCTGCGTTCGATTTCTTTACTAATCTCACTTTACAGTTTTGGGAGTGTTTTGGCGGGATTGGGTATGCAATTTAATTGGCTATCCTTGTCTTGAACTCCCTAGGGAGACAGAACCTTCTTACCATAAAGAATCCATTCAATACCACAGCGCGATTAGCGAACCAGAATCTGACTGGGATTAAGTTCGAGTTTCGATGTCATACTATTGTCATGCCAAATGTGAGCTGATAACAGGGTCCTTGGATAAAATATCCTGCACGCTGAAGACACTTTCCGATAGTATGGTAGGACTGGAATGTTGAATGCAGTAAGGGAAGACACAGTCACATGATTCCTGCCCAGTTCCTGCCCAATTCCTGGGTATTAACTTTCCTGAGCGAAATACAAAATGAATCACGCGTGAAAAAGATAAGCGGTTCCCTTATCTTTTTCACACGGGAAAGATATTAGATTACTGGCGAAATTCGGACCGAAAAAGATAATCAATCACAATATGTTTATCAGGTGAAATCATGTAAGATTTCCGAGTGAAATTCTCTTTCTTTCTCAATTTGTTTTCCCTAGGAAAAACGTGGTCTTTTTCAGCCGTAATTTGTACCGAAAAAGTGAACTTATCACAAAGATAATTTCTCCAATGATTTCGCCCGATTTTAATTGGCGCTGGCGTAGTGAGTACAAGCAAGCTACAAAAGTGAATCGGACATACCATAATCAATATAAGGAGCGGGCTCCTGAATATACAGGCCTGTTGGATTAGGATTGAGGTTGGAGTATTCTTCGGAATAACTGTATAATCCCGAACCATCCGCATGAGTATGGAAGCCACTTGCACCTAGGTCCGCATTAGCCATAAAATGAACAGGCAATCTCTCGAGGTCCTCTGTATGCAGAGGTAGCTCATGCCCAAACAGATTAAAGTCAAAATCGGATGCTGAAGGCACTGAGGAATGTAGCGTGTGTGTATCCAATGAGAATTCCGTGATTTCAGAGGAAGAAGGTGCGAGAGAGCTGGGACCTGCTATAGAATCAGGGAGTGAGGAGCTTGTATTCAGCTTGTAGCTAGTGGTGGGAGCAGGAGATGGGTTTCCTCCATCATCGCTGTAGCTGTCTTCTCGTTGACGTCGTTTTGAAGATCTGACTGTAGCCATTTCTGTGGGGATAGCTGCATGGCTTGCGGAAATAAGCTCTGAAATGATGTCACACATACGTCCGGCGGCCTGCCATCTGCAAAAAGAAAACTATAAGATCAAACCATGCCTACAAGTTGCATCGGACGCACCTTGATTCGTAGTACTTTAGCATCTCGAGACACTTGTGGATATTCCTCATGTCCCGTATTGGATTTGTTACTATTCCCAACTGTTTGGCAGACCACAGGTTCAAGAGTAGTACTACACAGCAGTTGGACAGAGCTGTCTATGAGGACGTGAATAATACAATATCGAAGAGAGACTGGATGCACATACAATGGTAGGTGGAAACGCATCGTCTTCACCTCTCGAGTGCAACCAAACCAGAACAGACACCTGAGAATAAATGCTCATAAGTAAAGGTACGATGAGCCGATAAGACTAGAAAATTACACAGGCTCTGGCTGCATTAGTAGTCACTGCAAGTGACGAGTACGACATTTTATTGTACTTTAGGTTACCACGATGGATCTGAATCTGCACCCAATAGTAGCCACAGTACAACATTGCAGATTGATGAAGGAATTCTGGATCTGGTATGTGTGGATCCCATCGCACTAGTTGGGGGTAAGTTAAAGAAATGTACAAAGGTGTGTTTGAGGACTAACGATGATCAGGTATTGTATCTACCCACTGGTTTAGGGCTATGTCAAGCTCCGAGACCACCGTTTCATCATTTTTTTTGGGATCTGAAGCCCATCGCTGAGGTATCTTGACTGCATGCTAAATACCAATAACCAAAGATTAGTACACATGCAGGATGCACTTGCTAACCTTACTATGCTGCGTTGAGCGACCCCAAATATATCTAACAATTTGAGGTAATGTACCCAGCATGCAAGGGCAGAAGGTCTTCCTGTTGGCTGCTTAAAGGCTTGTTCCGGGTCGAGGTGCAGCCAATAGTCATCGTCCACCTCCAGAGGAAACTCGAGGTCGTAGCTATGAATATAATGAGAACGGCAGAATGGAAGACGAGGATGGGTGAACAAACTCTGCAGGATTAGTAGCCTTTGGGCGGCCTGTAAAATTACTCATGTACGTATCAATGCACACGAGACACCAGAATGCCCGCTTCCACAGTTCTTTTGTAGGATTCGGTTTAGGTCCATAGAAATTTCGACGATGGGCGCCAATGCTTTGCACGAATCGTACACCAAGTCCTAGTAAAGGCCAGCAAAGACCGGGCTTTGATGACGGTTGTAGAAACATGATTGCATTCTAGACAACAGCATAGCTTTAGATAAAAACTAATGGCAAGAGATGCGGTACACACAATTATAATCTGAACTCTGTACAGAGCAGTGGTACGGGACAAGTCTTGCATTAAAACAATTTGTTCATAGTATTTCCAACCTAGCGCAAACTTCAAGTATTCCATCTATACAGCATGAAAGCAGAGTTCCTCACCGAGACTATGTTTTGAATCCGTCCCGTCCGCGAGGACCCGACGATCGTCCGTATACCATGCACCTAATCCACAAACTGACAGAACTAGCTCACCAAAGTCCCTATCTTGTTCGTGTAAGCCATCTCGCAGTCCTTGTTCAAACGTAGGCCTATGCAAGAGGACCATAATATTTCGTTTCCGGAAATACAAGTCGACCAAATGGTCAAGCAGGTCTTGGTCAGGAAATACTAATGGTGGAAGGTTGCGTATTGGGTCATACAGTTTCTGCCACTAAAAGATATGGATTGGTAAACGTATGTATAGCAGTTGACAGTGCGTACTGGACACAGATCCCAGAATTCTGGTCTTTTCAACTCTGCCTCACCCATACGTTCACGAGTATAGGCATTCCTGACAATCGTTGCCTCTTTCAGCAACGCCAACTGACTTTCCTCGCCCATGAAGGTTTCCTTCACTCCAAGAAGCTCCAAGCGTTTCATCGTGTCTGAGACTTCAAGGTTGACATCTGGGTAGTCTTGCTCGGGACGTGAACTAGGTGCTGAACCCAAGGCATATAGAGCAGAATTATTTTGGTTCTTGAGCTCGTTTTCGAGTGCGTGTGCATAGGAGGCTTTTTCGGTGAGCGTCTTGAGGACCAGTAGGGGATCAGATGGAAGTTTATAAGGCGTCGAAGGGGATAGAATGGCGGTTATGTGAGTTTTGGCGAAGTCGAAATTGAAGTTCTTATATACGTATTTAATTAGAAGGGTATGGATTATGATCATGAATGACTTCACTGGCGAGGCTGTGAGTGGAGAAACCTGAAGGGCACCTAGAGCGCTGCTCTTTGGTCAGGACATAGAATTTGGGGTAAAATTTCTGGATCACTGACTCTTTTCTTTTCTTCATTGAAGGCCATTCATATTAACAAAACTAGTGCATTTGGAGAAGTGTAAGTGCTACCTTCTTTGAAGCAGACATCAGATGAGTGCATTCAGAGCCCTAGATTGAGTTCGTCAACTGTAAGGCCGTTAATGGCCCGCGTTAAACTCACAAAAGACTTGCAATTCGAGCAAATGTTCCCCGGCATCTTGGCGCTGTCGCCTGTCGCGTTTATCAGATTTGAGGAGCGATTTACGAGCTCTGGGGCTTACATCGGGCTGAAAGGCTTGTCAGTAATATAAAGACAACACGGTAAGTTGAACTCACTCTTCTTGGCTCGACCTTTTGAATGAGGTTCAAAAAGCACTATAGTCAATATTTGCGGAATGGTTTATGAAACCGCGTACAAATGTCACAGGCACCTAAAGACATCGGATCGTCAGTATATTCAGTCTACTTAGAGGAGGAGACCAAGGCACCTTGCAGACGACGCTTTTTAAAGCCAGTTGGTGGATTTGTGTCGACTCCATGGGATAACTTTGTGAAGACTCAGCAAAGTGACTATTCCCCGAATACTTGCTCAGGATCAGATCTTGATTCAATGATTCGGGGAAAATCGCATCCTGTCGACACTGCACCAAAATGGCTCGGACAGAAAATATAAAATAGTGGTATGTACTATTACATACTGTATAGTTTCAACCATAAGCTCGGTGGGTGTTATGGTTTATGGCCGTACTTCAATTTTTCGATTATTTTCAGCGCCATTTTGGGAATATTTTGCCTAATAAATGCATCAGTAAAACGTGGGCACTACCATGCTTGACAGCCCTCCAGTGGCCCAAGATGGAATGGCATGCACTAGCCAGAGATTCCAGAGGCTGGTTTATTGCCTTATTTGGAGATTAATGCTGTGACGAAGTCACGGAGAGTCGCTCGGAATAACAGGGATAGCACTAGTTATTGAAAGAGAACTGAGGAAAACTATCTACGAGTACGCAGTATATATACTAATCGGATATCCGGCAGGCAGGTAGGTGATCAGATATGTTACAAATGCTCTGGGATTCGGGAAGCGCTGGAGTCTTTGTGACGTTTGCTGTTCTCGCACTGCTGTGAATATTCCGACAAATCAAAAGTTTTGCGTCGAGATCGGCTCCTTCGCGCTACTATTCCAGTCGCTAAGCTTAATTTTCGTGTGCCGTAAAAAAAGACATCCGCAAAGTTGGCCTTCCATTTCCAATGCGGGGAATCGAACCCCGGGCTGCTGTGCAACCACTCTATGGAGTAAATGAAAGACAGCAATGTTAGCCACTACACCACATTGGACATGTTCAATTAGTAGAGCTAGTTTGTACACTTCAAGTATTGACCTTGCCAAGAAAAATCATTTCAATGCACGCTGACTCCCCGTCAGACCAACAGAGAAAGGGCGAACGTGTTGTGGATGTTATTGGCTAGCGAGTCAAAGTTTGATGGTGAACCTTGGTGATGGTGAGTGCGCGCGAGCTCATTAAATCTTGCCGGAAGCCGTCATTTGCTACCTATCGAAAACCACCTGGTCCTCCAGCTCCATGGCAGCTCCGAGCGTATATAAAGACGATGACAATTCTTCTTGAAATCTCGAGTTCTTCTCCCTTACAATATCCGTAATGCGGCTCTCTGGAACGCTTCGAGTTTTGCTTTCTGCTCTGACTTTTATCGTTGCTGTCAACGCTTGTGGTGATGACCACGACCACAGTCACGACCGTCGGAACGCGTACCAGAAGAGACTTTTGCCTCAAACACAGTTACCGGTACCGACAAGGCCTTTGGAATGGGGTGATTTCAACATCATACATACTACGGATACTCATGGTCAGTTTCTACCTATTCTCCATCTAGATTCGTTCCTAACAAGTTTCTCGTGCAGGTTGGCTTCTTGGGCACCAACATACTTCGTTTCCGGAGCCCAACTACAGCGGAGATTTGGGTGATTTTTCTAGCTTCGTCAAGCATATGAAGGCAGATTGCTCTTGTGCGTCCTGGAGTCACCTGTCACTTACTGCAGCTCACTAACCCCGACATACAGGAGAAAGATGTCGACCTCCTTCTTGTTGACTCAGGTGATCTTCATGATGGAACAGGATTGACTGACGGATATCCTGTTGGAGGGATTGATGCTCACGATGTATGTGCAATCAAATTTCCGCCCTGGTCTTGGCTTGAACTGACTTGTTCTATCTACTCCTTAGGCCAACCAATTCATTAAAGAGCTTCCTTACGATCTCATGGCTATCGGAAAGTAAGTTGAGGTCTTTCTATCCCTGGTGCCGTTCCTCATTCGACTTTCTCGAAGCCATGAACTTTATGACTATATCAACACCTGGGACATGTACACCAATTTTGTTCCTGCCCTTGATGGTAAATACCTCGCCTCCAACGTGAACATTACCATCTTCGATGCGAACAACAATACGGTCGACGTGCCTGTTGGGAACCGCTTCCTCAAATTCAAAACCCGAAAGGGAAGGAGGATCACTTCATTGGGTGTTTTATACGACTTTACGGGGAACGATGTCAACACGACGGTGCAAAGTGTAGCGAATATGGTTCAGGAGCAATGGGTATGTGGTTTTATTCTAAAGAGACTGAACGTATACTTAATAGAAACCAGTTTGCCGACGCGATTGCAGAAGAACCAGATCTGTTCTTGTTAGCTGGGTATGTTGATTGCCATTATCATTCGTTTTGCTACTACTTAACACTGGAATTAGACATATGCCCGTCTCGTTCGACAACTGGCCCACCGTCTTTAACGCTGTACGTGCCGTGCATGCTGAGACGCCTATCATTATTCTGGGAGGACACTCGCATATCCGCGATTGCAGTACGTTCTATTCAATTCCTTTTCTCTCTTTTGCTGAATTTTTTTGCTGCTAGACCAGCCTGATGGACGTTCGATGGCTTTGGAAAGCGGACGCTACATGGAAACGATTGGCTGGCTCAGTGCAAACCTCGGCGACTCTTCCGATGTCAACAAGTCGAACAACATCACGTTCAGTAGGAGATACCTAGACCAGAATCGAGTCACTTATGAGGTGAGATACAGGACTTCTTTTCTGTATTCTGGTGATTTCAGCTGAGGTTATTCCGTATAGTATCACTCCCAGCAGAGCAACAACACGTTCGATACTACCAAAGGCCAGAATATTACTGAAGGTCTATTGGATCTTTCTGTAAAGTACGATCTTTCAATGTTGTACGGTATTGCTCCTCAGGACTATACCATCTCCCGGTACGTTTCTTTTCCCAGGTCAATGCGCATTGTCTCATTCATTCCACTCTAGCAACCCCTACCCCTCCAACGGTTCCTCCCTAACTCTCTTCGTCGCAGACGCCATGCCCTACGCTCTAACCATCAACAACACCCGCGCCAACAACACCAATGTTATGATCACCAACTCTGGCTCGCAGCGATTCGACATTTACGCTGGGACATTCGACAAGAACGATCAGATATCTGCTAGCCCGTTCCTTAATGCGTTTGTGTTTATTGCGGATGTTCCATTTGGTGTAGCGCAGCAGGTGCTTCCTGCGTTGAATGGCGCTGGGGCAGATGAGAGAAAGAGGCGGGACTTGAGTGATGTGTTGGAGGAAAGGGAGAGTGAGATGTGGAAGAGGGGATATGTTGATAGAAGATATATGGAGTGGTTGGACGAGATGGACCGTAGGCATGATGGAGCTGTGAAGAGGGCGGCGCAGAATTTAACATTGGGTTATGTCACTAGCGATGTGAGTATCCACTATATCCATCTTCTACCGCCCTTGGTGAACTATGTATCTTTTTCTTGCTCTAGTCCTGCCCCGGTATCGGCGACGACATCCTTCATGCCCCCCTCGCATCTTTCCCCACTCCGGATTTCATTGGCTCCATCAACAACGCGCCGCCTTCATTGTCCAATGATTCCCTCGTCGACCTTGTTTTTGTGGACTTTATTCAGGCACAGTTTTTGGAGATCCTGAACGAGATTCCAGACCAACACGACATATACGGACTCGGACGTAAAGAGTTACACGCCAGTGTTGACGAATGCGGTGCTGGGTTTGTATGCTCAGGAATTCTGGAATTAGCAGTCTTTACGATGCATGATCATTCTGGGATTGGGGAAAAATTAACGTGTACATACTTAGCGATGTACAAATGTATAAATCATTAGTACGGAGAAACAAAGCAGAGGACCTGGAAAACGCCCCACAGGCTAAGAAACATCTAGGCGATAGTCCTGCAGATAATATTGAACAATTATACCATTCGTCCACTAGCGGACGACCATCAACCCCATCCTATCCAATGCTCGCAGTGGACGATAAACCGCGTTGTCTAGTTCTCGCTCCCGGAACCGCATCGCTACTGAGAGAAGCATTCCACTCCGAGGTTCACATCAGGCTTTCACCTCGACGAAACCATGTTGAAAAAAGCAGAGTCATCGAACTCGGTACCACCACTAAAATCCAACGAGAGGTATCGAAGCCGGGGAACAAGGAAGGTGATCCATGAGCATATACCTGGTAGGCATAATACCCTGGTTAGGAATCCGAAGACGCAAAATGAAGCTGAGATATGGTTCGATGATCGATGGGGCCTTGTGGTTGCTAACTTCAAGAGCTACTAGAGAATCTGAGAGAAGACTGAAGAGCAGAAATAAGGTCTGCATCGGATGTTTGCACTGCGGTGAGAACCAGCTTCATTATTCTGCAGATGATCTAGAAGAATGAATGCGGAAAACACATCCTTGGCCATGTTCGGATGTTCGAAACTTGTCACCACTATCCAAGCCATGAATTCATTCAAGCAGGGAATGTGAATGAGGAGAGCATGGTCTTGGAGAAGGAGAGTTATTGGCCATTGTCCGACTCATGGACTACAACAACTTTCCATTTGCCCGGTTTTAAAGCCTCGAAAATCGGAAGAAATAAGTTCAAATCGGACTCGGAGCCAATATTTACAGCTTTGACCTCCATTTACAGAAAGAGGCATGATACATCATACAGCTTTGACCGCGAAGGCTTGGGCTCCTTTCCAACAAATACACACCAAAGCAATAGTACATTACTACTACATAGGATATACTACATTCCTCCAGACCGCAGAACTTGTGGCATAATCACTCGAAATCAGAACTGCTCCAAAAATTGATATATTTCCTTGAATCCATGCCTCTCAAGTGCTATAAGCTAATACAACGAAACATATGAGTATTCGAGAATGAATTCATGTACAATCGGTGTATATACAATGATATATGCGCACTTGCCTACATACGTTCTGTACAAGAGTATATATATACGTTGGATGAGTCAAGATTCAACTCGTTTAAACTTCACCCACCCAAGTTCATCATAATAACATTATGAACAAGTTCAATACGGTCTTTCCACCAACCTCCAAACACTCCTCTCCCTCGCCACAACCCCTTCCATGACCCTCGTTCTCCAAGGCGTATTCGTCGCCGCCTTGAACTGCGGTGTGCTAGACCCGTTTAGATCTCTCCATCTGTGGAGGGCGAGGAATCGCGGAGGCTTAGGCGAGTCCAGGTTGGCACTGACACTTTGGATGTCCACCAACTCAAACCTTCGACAAGCCTGCCATCCCGGCACTCGACTGAGGAGGTTTATATGCTCCTCGTCATACCATCGCATGGAAATCAGTTTCGGCTTCTGCTGATGAAGGGTTGGGAGTTAGGGAGATGGATATTAGGTATGGGCCATCCAGTGCTGCAGCAGCTGCAGAGTTTGCTGGCGTAGTCATAGTCGCGAAGCCGGTGACTGGGACTGGCACGGTAGCTGTAGCTGTTGGCCGGAGAGCAGTGTATAGACGTATCGAGTCTATTTCTGCTCCTCGGAGGAGTTCCGAGCCCGAGTCCGGTTGGATGCCTAGCTTGGCGAGTATCATAGGAATATTCGTAGGAACAGTATTAGTAGGGCCAGGTAGCGCTGCGTCTAGTTTCAGAGGAAAGAATAAGGAGAAACTACTAGATCCAGGAGTAGAAGCAGGAGTCGTAGTAGATTCTTCTGTAACAATAGTATAGATGGTAGGTTTGCTGTTCAGTCCTAAAGGGTTTCCTCTCAAAAGTTAGAACATCGATATCGATCATGACATGATCACTACTAGTAAGTCTAGTACTGTACTGTAGTGGTAGCGCAATAACTTACCTGAGGTATCATTCAATGTGCCAGTGGTTTGAACGATGAGAAGATGATCATATTCGTCAGGAGAAGAGAGGGATTTGCATGATAGCTAAAAGTCTTTACTGAAGGCTGAGACGAGGTTGGATGTAGGAAAGGGA